TAGGGGTTGGCCACTTAATAGAGGTTGGTGTACCTTGAATGTTTTTCACTATCGGGTTATAAATTTCTTAGAGAACATGGAGTCATTTCAAGACAATCACTTTCAATTTCAGACTCTTATGTGCCATCGCCCTTTCCAAAACAAAGTTTTTAAATTTTGGGCAGCCGCTTAAGTCGGGGGTCTACATGAAGGCCGTATTTTGGCTGGGTATTATGGTTTTAATGCAAGTATCTCGTTAACGACCCTTGCCGAGTTATTTTCCATATTTATGGACAGAGACTCTTAAAAGCTCTCAGAGTGGATTCAAAGCAAGTGCCCAATGGCAGTTCATTCCATTTATCTACAATTCTATGAAAAAATGAGAATTTAGCACATAATCTCTAGCATTTTTTTTTTTCAGAGTCAAATTATCACTCTGCCGGAGAGAACAACGGTCACGTTCTGAATAGTACTCAACATAAAGTTGAACATCAATTAAAACATTACGCAACAAGAACGGCCACTAAGGTAGACACAAGTTAAATCATTGGCTTAAATTCAATTGTAGAAAATTAAACTCGATGTAAATAGGTCTCGTTTACGTTTAGGTCAAAAAAATTCCACTCATTTTGAGTCACTCGGCTCAGTTTATATCTTTTAAAATCAATCGCAGTTGAGAGCTACATAAAAACTGAAAGCACCGTAGGAAAAAGAAGTATAATCTTCTTTATTTCAAATAGTTACAGTCTGTCATGTAAAGTACAAACAGGCAACTTGCATTTCTGTATATAAATTTACGTACCGTAGCGCTCCAGAATCTTTAACTAAGCGACCTGTTTCTAGAAACCCAGCGAAAATAATTTGCTATCTTTCTAAGAAGCCATCGCTGCCTCGTGCATAAGTAGCATAACGTTTCCGCGTTCTAAGGTAAATTTCGAACACGACTTTGGCTGCCATTTTGTTTTGGTCTTTTCAAAATGTCAGGTGATAAAAATCGTCAAGATTTTTGGAAATTTTGTACCACGTGACCCAGTCTTCTCCCGACGAGCCGCCATTTTGAAAATCGTCGAGGAGAAGGCCCTGGGGACGAGTTTGTGGCGCAATTTGTTCTAAAAATAGAAAAATTGTCCCATATCATAAGGACAGCCCCAATACTGGAAATGGCGCGCGCTTACGGTCTCCGTTCCCGATTATGGCTCCTGGTTTTGAGACACCTAATACTCAGATTTAACCGTTGATGTCTCGCTAGGTTATTTGTCAGAGATAAGAGCTGCTGTTTGAGGGTTTATTTTCAGATGTTCTCTTATTGGTTTTGTTAGATGAGATGTGACTGTAAGCATGATTACGAAATTCAGGAGTTCGCTTGCCTTTGATTCTAGCGAGTTAATTACGCGACAGTCGGATCGAAGTGTTTTGAAAAAGCTAGAACACCGGGCAGTTTCCACTAGCCTGCGAGTAGGCTCTGGATCAAAAACTATGAACAAAGCCTCTCTTAGTTTGATTTGATTGTTATAGCAAAGATAACAGTGACGTCACCAACCGGAGAGCTAAGGAGCGTCATGGCAGCCATATTGGTGTTCCAAAACAGTGAAATGGCGGCCATGTTGGAGTACCAAATCACTGAATTCTGTGGGAGTTCAACTCTTTTCTTATGTAAAGACTTTCGTTTGTTCCAATAAATTTGCATGGCTGCAGGACACGTGGGTGCATCGCTCTATTGGCTGGTGAAACAAAGAATTCTTTTTTTTTTTTTTAACGTT